CTGGAAAGCACCAGGAATAGACACTATATAAATATTAATAAAAGAAAATAAAAAGATAAAATAATAGTAATAGATAAAAATAATAAAATGAGTCTAATAAATGATATGAATAATGTTTCATATCATGGTAGTAATTGAGATAAATAAATAAAGAATAAAGAAAAAGAGATGTTAAAATAAATTGAATAATAAATTGAAACAATGGTTTAATAAATTCAGAAAGTATTAGACTAATTAAAGAAATAAAAAATGAAATTGACACGATAAAAGAAGTTAAAAACATTATCATTAAAAACGTGAATGATGGAATGAAACAATAATTCTACTACAACTAAACATACTCAACAAATCTATCAGAATAATGGCTATAGACAGGACTAGTCTCAGTTGAGCCAGTAACACTCGAAACTAATTCTATTAACACATAATTAATTGTTTTGTTATTAAATTATTTTTTTTATTTTAATTAAAAATAATAAACTCAAAGTTCCATTATTTCACTTATAAATGATTCAATTAATTCCAAATTGAATGAAGGAAATTAAATAAATTAGAAAATAAACTTTTCCATGTTTGTCCATCAAAGAGTTTTAATAAGAATGATTCATTTGGATCACTGATGTAACACATTTTTCCTGCGATCATTATTTTTTTCATATCAATTAAATAATTAACAACTGTCTCATCTGCAAATATCACTTTAACTCCATTTTTCCATTCAATAACATTAACAATAACTCCAAATTGGGACAATACATTTATAATTAATGGTGTGTCTTGAATTGTTAAGTTAGATAAAATAATAGCATATTCTTTTATATTTTGCACTATTGGACTATTTGATAATATAGAATTATTTCCTTGATTAAGTCCATATAATACAGATTGCTGATTATTATTATTAAAAAGAATACTTGTTTGGTTGTTTATAGTTGTATTTGGTAAAATACTATTTCTTGAAGTATTTCCAGGAATGGAAGTCACTATGCTATTATTGATATTACAATTATAACTTGGATTTAATGTTCCTATTGGACTACATGAATAAATTGATTGTCTTTGTGTTGAATTATTAATATATGAAGGACGTATTAACGGTACCATTCCATTCCTTCTATATGGTGAATTAAATGTTTGGTTAAATCGTCTTAAGAAAAGTGGTTGTTCGTTTGTTGTGTTTTTCCTAGAAAGATCAAATACATCATCTAATTTTGACTTGTTTTCATTTGTTTCATTAATTATAGTTGGTGTTGTAACTTCTTGTTTCTTCTTTTCTCTTTTGATTTTATTACTTTCTGGAATAATTTGAATTGACTCTCTATTTTTAATACTCTCTGTTGGAAATCGTGATTTAGTAAAATCTTGTGGTGTGGATGTTCCTATTCCTGTCCCTGTGTTTGTTCCTTGTCCATTTATTCCAATTGTATTTCCTCCTAATGTGTTTGTTCCAAGTGTATTATTTCCTCCCATTGTATTTGTACCTAGCCCATTTCCTCCAAAAGTATTTGTACCTAATCCATTTCCTCCTAATGTGTTTGTTCCTAATCCATTTCCTCCTAATGAATTTGTTCCAAATGTATTTCCTCCTAATGAGTTTGTACCTAATCCATTTCCTCCTAATGAGTTTGTTCCAAATGTACTTCCTCCAAAAGTATTTGTTCCTAATCCATTTCCTCCAAATGAGTTTGTTCCCATGTTAGGTATTGAGTTACCAGTACTTCCCATAGTATTGAATTGTTGTGAACCGTTATTTGAGGAAGGGTTGTTTGAACTAAAAGCACCAAAGCCACCTAACATTTTGTAATAAAATTTTTAAGTGAGAAAACAAAAGATCAAGCAACTTTTTAAGTTCAAACCTAATTTATTGTTCATAATCTTTTCATATTCTTCTTTCTACTGAAGATATTAATCTCTTTTTAAAACTATAAATTTATTATAATTATTATAAAAGAATAAAAAATATGAAGAACAAATAAAATTTATTTAATTGAGTGAAGTATGGGATGTGATGGTGGTGTTGTTGCTCGAAGAGATGACCTTGTAAAAGATAAAAAAAAAGAAACTAAAAAATGTAATACTGAAGATAGGTATCGTTATTGTTCTTTAACACACAAACCGTTTAAGAAACGAGTTGTTTGTGATGTTGTTGGGAGGTTATACAATAAAGATGGATTATTAAAAGCATTAATTAACCATGAAATGCCTGAAGAATTAAGATATATTCATAGCAAAAAAGATTTTATTGAATTAAGTATCGAATGGAGTAATGGAATTATTGTTTGTCCATTAAAGAAAGTAGAATTTAGTCCAGGTCATCAATTTGTAGCTCTTAAATGTGGGTGTGTTATTTCTAAATTAGCTCTTGATGAA